ATACAGTTTTCATGCTGCAATACCAAGTTTGCAGGGCTAAAAAATGGAAATATTTTATTGCTTTTTTTTTCTTTTCCATTGCTATTTCCGCAGAGAGAAGATAATTTCACTTACTGTCCAGCAACAGGCCTAGCTAAAGGAAATGAGCACTCAGAATTTGCTGGCTGGGCATTTCCCTTTCCAGGGGTRTTCCTGGTGGAGGACTTCATTACTGAAGATGAAGAATATGAGATAGTGGAGCTGATGGATCAAGATGACTGGAAACCATCACAGTCTGGCCGAAAGAAACAGGTTGGACTTTAAAAGCACATCTGATCTTAGATCCCTCTGGAAAAAGAAAGCTGTTTTCAGTYAAAACCCAAAATATTTAGATGTTTCATTAAGTGTTTTCCTTTGAATGTTCCTGAATTCAATTGTAAGAATTACCTGTAATTAAAATCAACTTCTTGCAAAAGAGCAGGATACTTACAACAAACAGTATTTGATGTGTCCAAGCATTGAAGTTCACACAATCTCCAAAGGAAAGAAGTGGGTGTTTATATTTGGTTTCACTTTATAAAYCTAGAGAGATTAATGTAGATCCACTGAGTCCTTTTGCAACCTGGCAACCAGGTCACTGGAAGAGATGAGAACAGAACTCTGCAGGAACAGCCTCTCCAAAAAGCCTTGTCCTAGATTTTTCCTTTACACCAACTTTTCCCTCCCTCTTCTTTTCCAACAGGACTATGGACCCAAAGTGAACTTCAAGAARCAAAGGCTGAAAGCTGGCAGCTTTTCTGGATTGCCGAGTTTCAGTAGGAAGATCGTGGCCCAGATGAAGGCCTGTGCTGTGCTCAGTGGTTTCCTACCTGTGGAACAGTGTAACCTGGACTACAGACCYGAGAGAGGCTCTGCCATCGACCCCCACTTTGATGACTGGTGGCTCTGGGGGGAGCGCCTGGTGAGCTTGAACTTGCTCTCAAAAACTGTGCTCTCCATGTCTTGCGATTCAGAGGACACCATCCAATTATTCCCCATTTCCAAAACAGAAGAATTAAGTCCCCCCGGATCTTTCACGCAGATATCAGCGTGCAGAGATTCAGGAAAAGAGGGAWTTGAGTCCCCAAGGCTGGTTCCAGGTAAGGAGGTGAGTGTGGCCGTCCCCTTGCCCCGGAGGTCGCTGGTGGTGCTGCAGGGGGATGCCCGGTACAAGTGGAAGCACGGGATCCACCGCAGGCACATCGAGCACCGCCGTGTCTGCATCACCTTCAGGGAGCTCTCTGCAGAGTTTAGCGCCGGGGGGAGGCACGAGGAACTGGGCAAAGAACTGCTACAAATCGCTCTTTCCTTCCAAGGAAGGCCCGTGTGACCGAGAGCTTGCGTTTTGTTGAGAGATGTGTAAAATGAGGTACAGAATTTGTAAGCCTTGGTTTATTTCTGAGGTGGGGCTAAGGAACCAGGTGTGCGCAGAGATAAGCTCAATAAAATGGAAATTTAACAAACAGAAGTGAAACGGGTGGGCGTCGAAGCCTTCTGGGCAACGGCAGCTTTTTGGCCAATATCAGAAATGAGAGGTTGTATCCGTTACTTGTGTTGTAACAAAAAAGCCAACAGCCAACACTTGCATTAAATTAMACATTTCGAAATATTTAACAGTGTATCAAACACCCCTTGACAGAGTTTCAACTCAAGCCCTGCCACAGACTTTAACCTTTCCTAGCCCATACGTGATACTGTCAGACTGGTTTGAATGTTGCACCGAACCCTGGGGGTACAATTATCTCCTCATCCACCTCAGATGGGTCCTTTAGGGGCCAGCACTCAGGGGAGGAAGGTAAGCAAGTATCTCTTCACAGACAGTGCAACACACTAAGAACTAAAGTAAGTAATTATTCTTTACGGAAGATTCATGCCCTAACAATGAGGATTTTTCATAAATTCCATGTGTGACCTGTATCTTCTGGGACCCAAGGGCAGCATTTGCAGAGAGCCAATGCTGACTCTTTGGGCTTGGCCAGAGATCAGACCAAAGGCCTGCACAGACTGTGTTATTTTCTGATCATTTGTCATCTCTGAACCCCGCTGTCAGCTCTCAGTAGCAAGAGTCTGATTTTGGGAATTAGCTGGGCAACAGACTGCAACCCTGGCAGCTATCATTTATTTTCCTGGCACCTCCAGCAGTCAGGTTTGAATCATGCCTCGTACCTAAGATTCAAACAGTCATTTACAGCAGAAGCTGATCTGAGGCCATCTGTCTGCTCTGAACAAACTTCTGTGCTCTTGAAAATGAAGTTGTGCTGTGGAAGAAGCGTGATCGTTTAATAAACACGGTGGTGCCATGAAAGCCATTCAGCACAGGAAAACACCAGCTTGCCACCACCAGGCAGTGCTGCCTGGTTTTAGTTGGTAAGGAAAGGGGACATTTGTCCAGGGAATCTCAGCATGCCTGCACTGCTGTGCTCTGCCCTAGAAGSACCTCCTTGGCACAGCATTTGCTGCACAGTAAAGCACTCCTGCCACAGGCACTGCCCTCTGCTTTGGGCACTGCAGGGGAGGGAGCTCTTCACCCAGAACAGTCAGTAGAAAGCAGATGGGTCAATCAGGATATTTTTTTAGCAGTTTWAGCCAACAGATACAACCAGAGCTCTTTGAGGGCTGGTTTGGTCAGTGCAGCAGGAACCTAGTAGCAGGACTCCCATGGGCAGTCCCAAACTCCAAACCTCCATCCAGGTGGGCTGGCGAGTGTCCACCACTCCAGGAGCTCCAGCAGCAGTTTTGGAAGTCATGGCACATCCTCTCTGATGGATCCTCTTCAGTACAAACACAGGAACACAACAGGCAAGCCATGCCTGCTCACAGCGAGCTCAGTCCCAGGAAATACCTCACAGGCTGCAACTGAAAGAGGATAGATCTAGATTAGGTATTAGGATGAAATTCTTACCTGTGAAGGGGGTGAGGCCCTGGCACAGGGTGCCCAGAGAAGCTGTGGCTGCCCCATCCCTGGAAGTGTCCTAGGCCAGGTAGGAGCAACCTGGTCTAGTGCAAGGTGTCCCTGCCCATGGCAGGAGGTGCAAGTGGATGATCATTAAAGTCCCTTCCAACCCAACCCATTCTGGGATTGTCCAGCTCACTCCCCAAAGCAGGGAGTGCTCTCAGAGCAGCAGTTCCTCACCTTTTTGCACAGCCTGGTGTCCACAGGGCTCGGCAGCATCTGCAGAGGGATGTCCCCAAGACAGCACCTGGAGCTGCTGTTGGAGYAGAGGGGCTTTGTCCCAGCAGGAGGAGGAGGCTGAGCCTGGCACAGACACCCAGGGAGGAAACCCAGTGCAGGCTGTCACAGAGAGAGCAAACACTGCACCTGCATCCTCCTCACCCTTCAGTTCCAAGGCTCTCCATCGATCTGCTCTCTGCTCACCACTCTGCAGCAGTCAAGTATTGCCATTAATGCTTGGCCCTAATTTCCAACAGTCCCTTTTACATTTATATTGTGCTCTCAGGCTGCTAAAACACTTTTCTGTGTGTGTCCCTGCTGCTCCATTCTCTCCACAGTGAAAGCAGATGATGGATTCTGATGCATCAGATTGCCACAATAACTTACAGWGTGTTAGTTCATTTTGTGCTCTGCAATTGCTGGCTGACTTTTTCTGCTTCGATTGAATTATGCAGGAAGCTGCTGTTCTTGCCAGAAGATTCCAGCTCTTCCTAGTTGCTATCTTAGATGTGAAAAAATGCAAATAATTAAATACTGAGCCAAAAACTAAGGGCTTTTTCTTGGTGTTTTTGAAGTCCAAAACTTAATCTAGTCACTACACAGGCATTGCTGTGCCAATCTTTTGACATTTTTCACCTACTAGACAGCCTTTTGGGCATCATCCTTAGATCAAAATGCAATTGCACACCCATCTTCAATATTACTCCTTAAAACTTGTTGTACATTCGCTTATAAAAAGCCAGAAAAAAGTGAAAGAAAATCCTGTTTTGCAGTGTTACAAAACATGAACAATTTAACTGTCAAGTACCATAGAAATCTGAGAAAAGTATAAGGATCTTTTAACCTCAATTAATGAGCTCTTGAAAGTAATTTTGTCCACTAAGCTGGTATTATTAAGACAAACTTTAATGGTCTTCCTGTTATAGGAGTTCCTTTCACAGCTGTTTGCCTCCTTAACTATCTCCTTAACCTCCTTGTAAAACACATGCCAAGACCCAGACCCTCATTAAAAGGAAGTGCATTTAATTGTTATCTCCTTGTGCATTGCAAAAGGAGAATAATAATATCTCACCAAGCATTTTTTCAAGAAGGCAGAACCCAAGTTAACCCATAGAGGATGCTGGAGGACTTGAGCTGCCTTTCAAAAAATCAGTCTGAAATCACCAAGAAGCATAAAACTGAGCAAGTTTATCCAGTTTCTCTCAAACAGCTGGACAATAACTGAGATACATTCATTGTTCCACATTAAATATTGCTCATGCAGAGGCAAAACAAGAAGCAAAGCTAAAATACACTTTTTTTTTTCCTCTTAGCACTCATGGCTGTCACACTTCTGGGCAGAGAGCAAGCTCCCAGTTGGACACAGGGATTCAGGGAAATACTCTCCAAATCCAGCCAGTCAATTGTAATTACTGAAACTGCTTTGAGATGGGTGTAGAGGAGAGAGCCTGTGAGTTAAYCAGAAAACAACCCCTCTGGCCCATCTGAATTTGAGATTGCATCTTGGGGGTGGGATGTTGAGGAAGTTGTCTTAGAAGTTGGTGCAATCAGATTTAAAAGATAAGAAATCTACAGCAGCAGGGAAACTCAAAGACCTTTTGTTTGCTCGAAGGCAGAAAAAGGAAAGCACATTGTGAAATCCCACAGAAAGACAGGAGGAGCACCTCCACCCCCGAACCCAGCGCAGGTAACCTCGAGGCAAAYTGGGATTGCCCGTCCCCACATCCCAGAGGCAGGGAGCGGAAGGATGTGGAAGGATGTTCGCTCTGCAGCTGCACCCACCCCAGCGCTCTCCACAAACACTTCCACATATCTGAGCGCTTACGGCAGCGCCCGCTCCGCCCGGGGCTCTCGCACGGTATCGCTTTCATCCGTCACATGGTCAAACCCAACACGACTCCATCTCCACCGGTCGTAAAGGCTCCCCGAGAGCCTCCAATCCACAGAAACAGGGAGCCCCGGCCTGCCCCGGGGCGATGTTAAAAATAGGGAGAGCTGCCACTAAACGCGGCAAAGGGAGAACCCGATCCTGCTCCCTCCAGCTCGCGGTTGTGCCCCTTCTTTACTCCTGCTAAGAGTCTTAGAAAGAGAGGAATTGCCTCCTAAGCCAAGGCTGGTGCCCAGGAATGACACAAAGAAGTGCTGTCCCCCTGTCTTTGAGAGCTCTTGCCTGCTTTAGGGTGGTTAGGCAGGGTGCCTGCAGTGCTGGGAGCCTGCAGAAGCATTTTTCTGCTGGGCAAATGCTATCAAAAAAATATCTGGAGGAAGACTCAGGACTTTGAAGCAAGACCATGACTGTCCCTGTGCTAAGCTCCAGTGCAAAAATTGGAGAAATAGCCCAAAGAAGGTGATAACTGGTCCAGAGAGCCCAGGGCCCAAGGCTGGCACAGGAAGCCAACACATGCCAGAGGAGATCCTCAACACAGGTACCCAGCTGAGGGTGGAACTCTTGGGAGAAGCAGCTCCACTCAGGCATTGCAGGATCACAGCCACACAAAACCTGGGACACTCCAGGAATGACAGACACCCCAGGAAAGACAGAGAGGTGACGGCACAGGACTGACGTGGCTAAGCACAGGCAGACAAAGCCAGACGTGACACAGAGAGCTGCCAGCYCTGCTGGGACAGCAGTGACAGTGTGGAAAGGCTGGCTTGACTGATGAGAGTCCTGCTGACAGCCACAGGGGCAGCAGCAGGAGCAGGGAGGATTTTCTGGTGCTGTAGCACAGAAACACCCAGCTGGACAACATCCCTACTCCTTGCTTTATGGATGAATTCCCACAGCTGGAACAAGGGTAACCGTTCTGCAGCATAAGCCTGGACCCAACAGTGGTGAAAATGTAAACAAGTTGGAGGAAGAGAGGCAGAAGCAAGAAAAGCAARTGTGTTGTTGGGAAAGAAGAGTTAYGGCATGAAGTTGATGGGTAACCTTGAGAGATCCCAGAATCAGAAAGCAAAAATACCCCGTGGGTTTCTCATGGAAGGGAAAACTCAGTGCCCAGAGAGACACAAGAAACAGAGCTAGAAGCAAGGATAGGAAAGCATGTTATTATTCTGTTTTAAGTGCATTTGCCCTTGGGACACCATCCCAAACTGTACCTCAGGCTCCCCCTTGGAGTAAGGCGATCCCACTCCAGTCACAGATGCACTGCCTTGAGACTGATCTTGAATCCAATCCCAYCAAAGCCTCAGTAAATTATTCTACAAAATCCAAGCAGTTTCTGCTGCATTTCTCCATTTGCTGAAGTTTATTGCATTTGCAAAAAATTAAATCAATGATTTGGCTCTTTCCAAACAAGCTGCATTACTTTTGCAGGATTGTATGCACAGGGGGAAATAAAAAAAAAAAAATTTGCAAAAAGGGTGCAATACTTTCCTTGATAGCCTCCTGAACCCCTGAGCACACAAGGTTCTCCTATTACTGGTGTTAAAGGAGAGTGCAAAGTACAGATGAGAGATTCATCCCATCTGGTCTGGCTCTGGCCTCACAACAGAAATTCTGTTGGTGGAGGAGCCAACACGTGTAGCACTTGGCAGAAAACTCAACTCTGATGCTGTTGTATAAACCTTTTAATTTTTATTACAGTAAAAAGAGGAGGGAGAGAGGGCAGAGTCCTGGGGAGTTCATATGAATTGCACGACCACCCCACTTCCTGGAGGACACTCCTTGTTTTTTTGCATATGCACATGAGTACAGATTAGTCATTTAGCACACAAAGCCTATTTTCTTTGCTGCACATCAGCCAATACAGTACATGCCAACTGCAGCAAGAACAGCAGATGAAAGCCACAGACACAGTGCTAAGCAACTTGTTCAGCAATGCTCACATTCACATGTAAACAAGAGAGATGAGAGTTGGTTTCCCAAGGCCCTAGCCAGAGAGGAGTATTGGGATAGTCTCACCCTGCTGCCCTGGGGYTGGCCTGTGCTCTCCCTTCTGGGAAGCTGACATGTAATACACTGCCATTAGAGTTCTCAAATCCCAGGGGRAAAAGAGACCAGGGTTAAACAGAACTTTATAAACATCCTTAATGATTTCAGAAACCTGTAAGGCCTCGGAGACTCTGAAACTGCAGTTTTTGAGTGCAGAGGAGGAAACCAGCACAGGATCAGGGCCAAGAAAATGTGCTTATGCTTCTTGCAGCCCTGTGTGGCAGAAAGCCTGATTTTCCCTTAAAAGAGCTGATGATTGCAAGACACTCTCTTCTCTCCAAAAAGTCACCAAAAATCATAACTTTTTTTTTTTTTTTACAGAAGTTTTCACCCACGAGGATGCTATGGAATTTACAAGCTTCCCTTGTTAAGCAACACAGACATGCAAGTATCATTGTCTCAGCTGCTGAAAACAGAAATGAGCTCAAAGGAAAGGGATAGCTCTTTAATGGCTCACAGCATTCCTGCCGGATCCGGCTCCATCAGGCTCGCCAGGACAGCTCCAGGTTCCACCAGAGGAGTTGTCTGCTTTGGTGAAGGGAGAAGGAAGCATTCATTTCTGACAGAAAAAATGCTACAGCCAATTAAAAAAASAAAAAAAAAACCTGAAAACCYAAATGATGAAATAACACAGGACTGGGCTTGTTCTCTCAGGCAAAAGGCATCGCAGCAATGCACAAATGAAGAAGATGCAGCGGCAGRTTTCTGAAATACTTGCTGTCACTCCTTTACCTCCTTGAAACTTGCTTTGTTAGTCCTTCAAAGTCTTGTCTCATTAAATTCCCTGTCACTGTTCTGTTTTAAGAACGTCCTTGTTAAAACTAAAACACCTGTAAGCCTTCCCTGGGCACTCTTGCCTCTTATTGGGAAAAAACACATGATCTTGGCACTTACTCAATCTAAAGTGACAGACGCAGCTGAAGAAAGTACGAGAGAACTTCCCAGCCTCCTGCAACTCAAAATYCTACCTCCCAAGCTGTAAAAAGATAGTAAAGAATAGCAAGAAAAGAACATAAAAACTAAGCATGTTTTCTTTCTGRTTACGTATTTATGGAATACTTGCTTTGGAACAATGGTGATCGACACTCTCCATTTCTGTTGTGCTTTCCTGGATGTCCTTGAGTCAGCTGCAGGTACCCACATTAACCAGCTCTGCTCTGGAATTGAGCTGCCAGTTAATTGTGGCTGCACTGACAGCCAGGGAGTTCTGACACATAAGACAGGTCCTACACACACACACACACACACACACACAGAGGATTTTGGGACAGCTGACGCAGTTTCATTTTTGGCAACAGAATATTGCATTTGTAAAAAATACAGATTTTTTGGCTACCAACAATAAGGTAGATAAAGTTTTGACCTTGAACACCACGGCAGTGTCAACTTAAGTACCAAGTGTGTTGCACCAGAATCAGGGCAGACCCCCCAGCATGTGGAACAGCACGAGAACCCACAGCTAGAAATGGCAGGCAAGTAGCATTTACAGATTTAAGCCTCAAGACAATCCATCCCTGGTGCGTCTCACCAAGCAGCACACCAGGTATTTTGCTCTCAGCCCTGGCTGAGCTACRTGCAGGCTCTGTCACACCACCTGCATGCCTCTGTCATGCCCATCTAGCTGCACTTTCAGTTTGTGGAGCTCCTCGATCTCCCGGTTGTGCCGCTCCGTTTTGTGCCGCACCAAGGAGCGGTAGAAATGAATGGTGAAGACGACAAAAATCAGACCCACAGGGACCATGATGATGGTGGACACCAGTGCCGACTGCCACCCTGCATGGCTGCTGGGCTTCTCCACGTTGGTGGTCTCGTTTTTCAGGATGGAGCCCACCGGCAGGAATTTTATCCAGCACAGGAGCACGACTTCTGCGAGGAAAAGGAGGATTCCCAGGACRGTGGAGAAGCCCCAGGCCAGCTCGATGTAGGGGTGCATGCGCTCGTGYGGGGACTCGCTGATGGAGTTCAGGTTGTGGATGTTGCTCACGGCTTCCACGTTGGGCAGGATGCAGGTGCTGATGAGGAGGGCGAAGAGGTGGACGGCCACGAGCACCGTCGTGCAGGCGCTGAAGGCGATCAGCAGCATCTGGGGGTACTTGTACTGCACCTCCAGCTGCACCTCCACCATGGCCACCTGGCGGAAGGAACAAAGAGTTTGTCAACATCTGCTGGCTTTCCTCTTTGTGAGGCTTTCATCCAGGAAAGCATCTCGCTTCAGGAAGAACACCTAAGGTCAAGTACACACTCCAGGGCTTTTTGGAATGGCAGCCCAGACAGATCACTGCTGTCACCCACAAGGATRCATGTGCCACCTGTGCTCTGGCCTTTCTGAGGCCAGGGTTTTTCTCTAAGAACACATCCCTCCTTGCCACCATGAGCCACAGGAACTGCCCCAAACCCAACACACAATGGGAGGAGCTTATMAGATGCCATGTGGGGCTGGGAGGCAGCTGAGAATCTGCTTTAAACCACCATCACACCCTCTCCTGCCACTCCTTCCTCTCAGCTGCAGCACAGGAAGTTTCAACTTCAGGCATGTGAAGAAAAGCAAAACCAAGCAGCTCCTCTGGCCAGTGGCCAGCCAGGTTTCACTACCCACCATGGGAAGCACACAAGCTACTTTACAGTTTAAGTTAGCCTGTAGTTAAAATAGCTGCCTTCTCAGAACAGTCCTCAGAACAGTTTACGTTTGTTTTTATTACAAAAAATGCCCAGATAAATAACTTTAAAGTTATTTATATCAYCAAATTTCTCCCTTGAGAGGTAATAACTTAGTGATACACTCAGCAGAAGTGGACAGCTACYGGCTTATGGGTGTGCTCAGCAACTCAGGAGAGTCTGCTTCCCCAAAYGAGAGCAATCATACAGCAGGTCCCTAAAGCTATTTTTACTTTAATCAAATAAAGCTTAAGAAGCAGAATATGTGCAAGAGAGCAGGAGCCTCTTTTGAGGTCAGAACTGGAGTCCCTGTACGCTACTATTAACTGGTTTAGCAAGCATAAGTATTCATACAATTACTTATGCTACCTGTGAGGCAAACCAGTACTTCTGTGTGGTGGCATCCCTGAAAAAACTGCACAAACCATTTGCTAAGAGAAGCCACTAAAACAGTGGACAAGACTATCAAACATCCCTTGCTAGCAGCTGGCTTGGAYCTGCAGCTGCATTTTATGATTTGCAGAGACGTTACTGTCTTGGCAGCAGGGAAAACCTCTGGTGATCTCAGCTGACCTGCTGCTCCAGCCCAGCACAGCTTGCTGGAAAGCAGCCCCTCTCAAGAACATCATGAGAAGGCAAAGTTTCAATTCTGCAGCTCGATTCTGGGGCACAGAAGGATTTTGCAGAATTGATTCATGATTACATTATCCAGCCTTCACATGAGACTACCCTGAGCACCCATTTCAGGCTCCATATAATCACCTGCCCCACTCACTCYGGCATTACTTGTTAATAATATTATTTAGGCACTGGAAGATTAGGGGTATGCTCACTTTATCCCTGTTGGAAGCCCTGAAAAGGATTAAAGGGGATGGAAACCAGTTGGCATGACTGCTGCCTTACCTGCATCAGATGATAGTCAAGTCTGAACATATTTAGCAGCAAACAAGARCCAACACGTGTGGCAAACGGTCAATCTCTACCAGTCTAGATTTTATAGCTACATCAACTATTTAGGACATTAGAGACACCAAAATTATTGTGCCAGGTCTTAGGCATTCCCAGCCTTCTGTTCTGATTGTGAACKTGTTGGGGTTTTACCTTTGTTTGTTTTTACAGGCTCCTAGTTGCAGTCTACAGTTGTTCCTGTTGTATAGCAGAGAAAATACTAACACAGGATTGGCTTCACTACCTACTGCAAGGTCRATTTAATTAGAACACATTTCACGTTGCCTTGTGTATGTTCTCTTTGCAGTTCCCCTTATATTGATTGGAGAGGGAGGAGATCAGACTTATTCTCTGCTTCACTGTACAATGAATTTGTACAGCACTGTGGTTGCCAGTCACGCCCCATCAGCCAGGAAAACCTGCAGGTACATTGTTCATTATGGGGTGCTGTAATACCCAGAGACACAGCTGAGTGGGAATTGTACCTGCATGTCCAATTTATAGCTTTATATTAAAGCTGAAAGCCTGGCTGATGTCAACATATCAATTTCTGCTTGTTATCCTTCACATGAGCAGCACTTTTCAGCTAATTGGATGTTTCCTCCCAGACTAACCTATTCCCCAGGGTGARCTTCAGCTGTGCAATGTGATGAATTTTTAACACTGACTGATGGCTCAGTAAGAGGTATTTCAGGGAAAAACATCAACAATCCAGATAGGGCAGCAAGGCAGAAAAACAGTTCATTTAACCCAAATGAGTACTGAAAAGGTGAGCGAGCGCTGACTGCTTTACCCAGCACAGGCTGTCATGTCATTCCCTGACCGGGATAAGAGAAAGAGGACAAGCTGACATAACCCATTTAAAAATCATTAAATATGCTGCCTAGCCTGTAAAACTATTAATATGTCATGTTTGATACAATTATACTCTTCCATGTAACAGTCCTCTTAATTTTAACCTCTTCCCAGAAGGAACTTTGTAAGGCTGAGCTCTCTGCCAAGCCATGGAATATTTCAGGACAGGCTTAATTTTAAGCTTGAGAATCACCCAGTTGAACTCCAGAATTATAGGATCAAGTAGCTCAAAATATCTTAGAATKAAACTGCAATTAAATTACATGCAATGATGGTGGAGTTTAGACCAGCATAGCTCAGACTATCCACAACAAAGATGTTATTCATCTTGAGAAATTCAGACCAGGACAGATAATATCAGGCAAAAGGATGACAAATGGCTTAACATAAACCATGACACATTCACACAGATGGTTTGGCAGACTGTAAAAACAATCACTCCAGTAGATCTGTCAGGGTTTTTGTTTTGGTTTGGTTTTTTTTAATCAAACACATATCCTGTAGCAATTGGACATATATTGAGAAGAAGGATTAGCAGTAATAGCTCTTATTTCCATCAGGAAAATTATTAAGGCGGTTTCTTAAGCTCCCTCTACATTTCCTTTATTTGTAGCCTCCTCGGGGCAGATGCAGCTGCCCTACTGCCCACCTCCAAGCAGACTTGGCACTGGAATGACCCACATCCTCCTGAGCTGCCCAGGGCTCTGCCAGAAATACCAGAGATGGTAACAAGGCAGGTTCACATTATTCTGCAGCCTGTCCAGAAGGAGCTGGAGCAGAGCCATTGCTTGTTGATTAAATATCCATCAGCTCGCAATAATTTCAGCCAATATGGAACTAGCTTGCATCAAACACACCGACAGGGAAGTAAATAAGGCAATAGTCAAGCCCTGGATGACATTTGTTTGCATAGTTAAATGCACTCAAGGCTTTGGGGAAACTATTTAATAGAATCACRGAATCATTCAGACTGGAAAACACCTTCAAGATCACAGAATCCAACCACTACTCCAGCACTGCCAAGTCCACCACTAAACCATGTCCCTAAGTGCCACGTCTACACATATTTATCTCTAAATAACTTCTCTTCTTTCATCAATAGCCAAAGAGGTGCTCTTATTAGAGAGTAAACATCCGTGTGCTAAATACCTGCGTGCCAAACTACCAATGGAGAAATAACCCAATGGGAAGACATATCTCAGTTTTCCAATGAGCTGGGCAAAAAGCTTGCAAATAAAGATAATTTCTTATTGCAAGAGATTTTATTTCTTAGTTACTGCTTTCAGGTCTATTTCTTATGTTAGGTTGGCAACCATAATTAACACTACTTATACCTTGTGTGTATTCAACTGCACTTTAAGCAGTTCAAAGGGAATGTAAAACCAATGGTTAATATTGTGTTTGTCAAGGACTTTCAGCAACTTTCTGCAGTGTGAGCTGAGAAAGCGTGCTTTGTTTGCAGAGATGTGGTTCAGCCCTGCAGTGTGGGTGGGCTACAAGCCCCAGAGTCTCAGGGCTGCCAGTGGTGCCAGTGACAGCACACCCAGCAGGGACACAGCGTGTGACCACGCTGGTAGATCAGCATCCAACAATGCAAAATGTTAATTTAACAATCACGTTAAAGAGAACAGCCWMAASAGAACTCCAGTAACCAGAGGCACASAGGAMAAGCATGTGAGAGGCTTTTTAAGAGTGAGAAAACTCTTGAGTGAGAGAAGTATACAGGAGAGCACTTAGCTTTTTCAGAAGGAGGAGGGACCTTCTGCCCCTGCAGCACACAGGTTTGGTTACAAACCAACAGAGACTTTATGAAGCCCACTCCAGCCTGCTCCCACTGAAACCCCCGCCTTGCAGCTTTCCAGCTTCACTTTGGGTGACCAACTTCATCATCCCAGACTGTTGTAATGTTATGGATGATTCATGGTCTGGGGGGCTGGGGGAGGCAAAAGCAGCAGAAGAAGCTAAAATAAGACAAGAAAGGCTATCTGRAAACTTCCTGAGATCTGTCTTCCCCCCCCAGCTTCTGAGCTGTGATGAAACATCATCACACCGTGTCTCACGCCACCCAGGCATTGCCCTCTGCCCCTCTGCTGACAGACCTCGRGAACAACCAGACCTGCCCATTTCCTGAGCAGGAAACCTCCCTCAAACTGGTTTCAATTCTCACTCCCAGTAAGCAAAAGCAGAGGGGAGATGAAGGGGCTCACAGTAACAAGCACAATGGTGTTTTAACACCACCGCTCAGACAGCCCTGAGCACTGGACCACTGACAGTCTCAGTCTTGTTTATTTGCTCTCTCCTGACATGGTCCTGACCTATGCAAATCACTTCCAAATAATATCCTAGTGCTGCACAGCAGAAAGCAAGCACCAGGGATCACTTCCAATAGGCAGCACTGACAAAAATATACCAGGTTTGGCTCCCTGCAGGGTGCAGAACCCTCTGACACCGGGTCTGAGGCTCAGGGCCTCTTCTCACACCTCAGTGGTATAACACGATCTCCCTGATCAGGCTATGTAAACTTCAACTTCGGCAGACTGTGACCCAACCTCCACCTTATTTTAGACATCGTGACCTGAGAAAACACACTGAGAAATTAAAATAACGTTCAGGACCACAGCARCCGCAGGGGCCTGCAGGAGCAACACGCCCAAGAGCAGCCGCACATGAAGGCAGCCAGCGCCAGACAGCCTCGGGGCCAGAGGAGGTCCTGGATTGTTTAGCAATGCTGCTGGAGCTCTTAGGATCGCTTGCAGGTAGAGGATTAGTATTTTTAAAGGRCTGACTTGGGAGTGTGTGGGCTGGTTGTTAGACAGCTCATGTGTCCCTGCTGCCTTGAGAGAGCCAGCCTCAAACTGTGGAGCAGCAGCCAAACAGAAACCCTCAGGCAGATGCCTCCTGTCTCTTCAGGAAGCAACTCCCTGCTTTTTCCCAGGAGGAAAACACTGATTAACAGTTGATTTTAGGGAACCCAAAAACCTTCACAGTTCAAAAAGCAATAAAAACACACATACCATTGCAAATCCAGAGAGCAGAGCAGAGGTTCTGCTGGAAGCTTTCAGTTTGGCTCGGCTCAGGTACAATTTTCTCCAGGAAAGGGCTTGAACAGAGTGGTGGTTGGAGGTGACCAATTCCAGGTAGCTGCGCCGGACCCAGTCCCGATAATCCATGCCCTTTGTGCCAGGCTCAGAGCAGCAAGCAGGAGTGGAAGGATCCACCGGAACATTTAATTCAGAACTCATGGTGARAGAAATGCTGAGGGAACAAAACAGTCACGTTCAAGGCGGGGTGTTGGACAGAATGAGCATCAACTACTGGGAAAGCTACAGTGGAACAAAGTTGCCCTTGGTCAGTGGAAAATGATGGACCAATAGCACCACACTTGGAGGACAGAACTGAGAAAGGAACGTCCRTAATTGCCAAAAATGACCATGAGAACTAGGAAACATTTCACAGGTACACCCAGGAACTACTCCAGCAGGAATCCAGGGAGGCTGCACAGCATCTGGCTTTTCACTTGAGAGCTGGCATCTCAACTTGGCCCTTTAATTCCTTTTCACTAATAAAAAAATGTTTTTCATAAACACACTTGGCCCCTGTCTTATCTTTGTTTTGAGCTGACAGTTCATTTCCCGGTGCATCATGGGCTGGCTCCAAATGGATCTCCTYAGAGCATTAAAGTAACACCAGTTCAGGGAATCACTTTTTGCTCCTTTTTTGGATCCCAGTTGTCCTGGGTTTCAATGTGGGGTGTAACCAAACTGTGTATTCTCCTCACATCTACATTATTCCTGATGAACTGTTAATGGTGGGGCGTTTGCAGGAGCTGCACAATGCACACCCGACCCCCAGGCTGCAGGCTGGGCGTTGGACAAGGGATGGAGGCAAACCCTGCAGGGAGGGTGATGTTTCTTTGTCTTCACAAATTGATTAACTCAGCCATGATAACTACAGCCAGCCCAAGGGGGTCATCTCTGCCAATGGGCCATAATCGCTCAACTGCCTCAACAGGCAGCTGTAACGACCTAGGCCATAAMGGATTCCCCAAAATATCCCATGACTCATGGCACCACATCATTCCGTTGTGAAATTCCCTGCCCTGGGGGAGGTATTGAACTTTCCTGCCTGAATCTGACCGTTTAGAACCTGGGCAGTTTGGGGATTTGACCACCACCACCACTGGACACACAGGAGGACCCAAAATTCCACAGGAGGATCAGACCTTCCACAGGACCACCGCCTTCGTCAAGCCTGCAATCATGACTTAGCTGTACTCTGTAGTTTAAGCCAGTTTTTCTGTAGCATTGCATCCATTGTAACCTTTGTATTAAATTGTAACTCCGAACCTGAAGTCTCTCTCAAGGTATTTGGGTGGGGGTTAATTTCTCCCGCTGGTTTACTTTCAACCAGCACAGCAGTTTTTTTCAGTTAAACCACTCCTCAACACAGTTCTGTTTAGATGGGCACAGTTTTCCCCCCAGACTCCCCCAATGAATGGGCTGAATGCTGTGTAGGTTTAACAAATGAACTTCCCAAGCTTTTGCAGTGGGAAGTTAAATTTCCTGAGTGGATCACATTCCGTTTATCAGCCACATCTGAACAAGAATGTGCCCCTACTTCCACCGGTGTCTCTGAGCKGAGGGAAAGGAAAAGACAATTCCAAGGGGAAAAGCGAGCTGCTTCCAGGAAATTCCATCATCTGCAGATTCAAGGATTTACACTGAGAGATGTATGAAAACAAGCAAGAGTATTTCAGATGGTGGATGCTTTACACCACCATATCCCCAGGCTGCTGCCAAATGCACTGGTGATCCCCAGACACAGAACCACGTCCATGCAATGTTTTGTGCAAAAAAAACCCTCAGTTCTGACGGATACCTGAAAGGAACTCAGTCTTTAAAGAATGGAAACCACAAATCTTTGTTTAATCACAACTCCACCACGGAGCCCTGTGGTGGTGGCAGACAGAGACACCAGAGCTGCACCTTCTGGCCATAAAACACTCACCCAGCTYCCAGGAGGAGGAGATGCTGCCCAGAATCTCACCTGGTGTGGCACTAATTAGTCCCAGCACCACCTCTCAAGGTCACAGGCACCTTCCAGCCCTGCTCCTGTCCCCCCAGCTCTCCACATACAAGAGCCACGTGGGGACAGCTAATAAAGCCATGGCTGCTGGGAGACTTGGAGAAGTGGCAAAGATCAAAAGGAGACCAACTGCCCACGACTCTGAATGCTGTTASTAAAAGGGAAGGAAGCTGTTTCAGGCACAATAACAAAGATTAGCAAATAAAGCACTGCWGGTCCAAGATTGTCCCTCCTGAACATGGGGTGCTTTCAAGTTCCAGCCCCCTCAGACATAACAAGGATGGCAGCACAAAATGGTTCCTGGATAAGGCCATCATTGAAGCCCCTGGAACACTCCAGGGAGGCTCCTGATCTGCTCAGATTTCAAAATATTTARAAGTAACAAAAAAGATAAAATCCAACAAACCCARAAAATGAAAACCAAACCAAACAAACAAAAAGAAAGGCATAATAGAACATTCACGCCATAATACAAACAAGAAGAGAAGGAATAATAGGCACAAACCTTCCTGCTTGATCTGTGCTTCCAGAAGAGGCAAGAATCACCTATTTTACARAATAAAAATGCCTCCTGGGAGGATYGGAGGAAGAAACARTCTGTGAGCAGYAAAATTATGAAGCTGTTTCCTGTGACAACATCCTGTGTGGACCCTGTAATGTATAGTGTGGACTGAATTCACTCACTTTGTCCCCAGCTGGGACAGTGACGGCCTCTACTCTGCCATTTATTTTCATAAAATACTTAGGAACTTTCTATGTAGGAAACGTTGACCCCTGGGACAAATTCCATTTAAAAGACAAATGAATTCAGAGGTTACAGAGAGAGGGCAAGAGAACCCAATCACATCTGCTTCTTTCCTTAGAAAAATAAGCTAAAAATACCACAAGGCTGAATTTTCACTGTGGAGCAGCTCAAGAGATGTTCTCAGATAAGTAAACAACTTCAGAATAAAATCCATAAACACAAATGTAGCYCAGACAAGCACTGCCAGGAAGTGAAACTCACCTTGCTGGCTATGGACATGGAGGGACTGAGTGAAGGGCTCCAAGGGCTGAAACACAAGACCAAAGAAGCATTTTACATGCACTGTAGCTGCAGTAGTTTTACTCTGGAAATACTTTTCAGCCTGTCACCTGCATCAGGGAAGGCTTATTCTGGAGATTTCAGGTCCCTGCCTTTCAAAGTTTAAGGACACTTGTTCTTACAGAAATAACTATTCTACAGGGTTTGACTGCACAGGGCTGTTGAGTTCTGGATGKGGAAAGAAGAATTCCCCAGAGACCTTTTCCTCAGGCAGCTCTGGCAAAGTCCACCCCAGCTGTGTCTTCACTCACTCGCACTGCACCACTGACACATCTGACCCCACTCCATACAGGACAGAAACCTCTCTGTGATTGTTCCCTCGCATTGATTTTGTTAACCTGCCCCGTGCTGTCCTTCAGAAAATGGAAAGCCTTTGCCTCCCCATGTCTTGGTGCATGTGTGGGGATTTTTTCACAGCRGGGAATGAAGCCCACAGCACCAGGGCCGAGCTGTGCGGATCCCCCTCCCACCACTGCCGTGCTCAGTCGCCCACTGAGCGCTGTCTCTGCAGCACTGGCAGCTCCTCTGCCTGCTTTTCGGATGCCAGCCCCCTCCTCAGTCCCAGGTTTCTGCCCCACACCCCCAGACTGATCCGTGGGTTYGTGCCAGTCCCTTCCTCCCCTGTCTTGAACACTGTTCAAGCCCCTGCAGRCCATGGCTAAGCCAAATCCCAAGCCCTGCAACTCCACCCCCATGAGCTCAAGCCCTCCTTGCTGTAGGAAACCCTTTCTTATGTTCTCTTCTGGCTTGGGACCCTCCCAAGCAGCACTCCTTGGGTGTCACAGGAGTGACCCTACAGCTGTGACCACCCTTATGGCAGATGRGGATCGCCTCCCAGGCAGGATGTGGCCCTCTGGTTCCACCACTGCAGCTGGGATCCTCCTCACRGGGCACCACCTGAGCAGAGGATTTTTCTCCTCCTCCTCCTTTCCAGCCATCCTCAGCACACCCTGTGCAGGATATGATCCCACACAGTGAAGATCTCCCGTCCAAGAGCACCCTCAGACAGGGGATCCCCCAAACCAGCATGAGACCCCCTCCCAGCTAGGACATTCCCTCCAAAGGCAATCGGGACAGAGGATCTTTCCTAGGCAGGATGTAAGCTCCTACCACTGGATCCCCATGCTTTCAAGATTCCTCCACAGCTCCTCAGGCAGGATGGGACCCAACCCCTCGATTCCCCTTTCCATGAGCACCCTGGGCAAGAGTCTTCCCCGCACCGTATGCCGGAGATTTCTGCCCTACAGCACTCCAGCGGCAGGATCCCTGCCCRGATCCATCTCCCGGGAGCTGGCCTGCCTTCTGCATTCCCATGGGACCTCCAGAGTACCGACGAACAGGACGGGACCCCCTTCTCTGCCCACAGCGGACCCTTCCCATTCGCCCCCTCCACCCGGSCAGGGGATTGCCCCCAGCCAGCCAGGATGAGGCGCGCATCCCACCCTCACCATCCCGGGCACGGCATTCCCCCTCCCAGGGCAGGACCAGGCGCGTCCCCCCCACACYGCCCCGGGCAGGGAAACCCCTGTTCAGGCAGGATAAAACCAACTGCCCCCCCAGCACCCGGGCAGGACGAGACCCCCTCCTCCCGGAGCCCCGCGGGCAGGAGATTCTCCCACCTCTGCAGGACGAGCCCCCCACACCCCAAACCCGCCTGAGGGGATGCCGCYCGCTGCCCCAGAGCGCGGGCCCCACTGGGGATGAGCCCCCTGCGGGCGGAATACGGCCCCAGGGGCCGGCCGTGTCTCACCGCGCTGCTGTCCGGGGCCGGGCCGGGAGTCCCGGGAGAGGGACCGGGAGCGGGAGAGGCAGCAGGAGCGGGATCGGGAGCCAGAGCCGGAGCCGCCTCCGCCGCTGCCACGGCAACGCCGGGCACCGGCCACGTGACCCGCAGGAAACGGGGGGCAGCGCCGCCACGCCCCCGCACGTGACCGCCCGCTCATTGGCCCGCGGCGGGCTGGGCCACGCCCCYTCGGCGGCGGGGGCGGGGTCTGGGGACGCGACCCCCGCCCGGCAGAACCCGCGGCCCCTCCGCCCTCCCGGGGAACCGGGGCCACGCTCGCCCCCTGCGCCCCCGGGGGAGCCGTTTGTGGGGGTCTGAGGGTCTCACGAAACGGGGGGTGGACTTAGGGTTACAGAGAAAGGGAATTCCCCCGGCACGGAGCCGTTCCCGCAGCGCTCGGGGTCCCGCTGTCAGCATGCATCTGTAGGGAAAAAAAATCAGGTCTGCGGAGTCTCGGTGGGGCTGAAATCCACCCACTGGTAAAAATATTAGTGGGTCTGGACCTTGCGTTATCTCTAAATCTTGCCACAGAGAAGGTATTGGTGCAATGGGATGCAAATGTGCTTTTATTACAATYATTAATTATACAGCAAAAAGTCGCCACTTACATAAGTCAAAAGGCAGCGCTGCTCTGCCTCCGCCGGGCTGAATCTCCTCCGGCTGAGCACAGGCTCCCTGCGAATCCCGACTGCTATGTCCCTGCACTCCTCCGCTATTGACTCAGCAGGAAATCCTGTATAAACCCATCAAAAGGATAGGGACAGCCTTATGGCAAAGAGAGGGAGTTCCTTCCCTGGAAACGAGATAAAGAAAACGCTGAAAGGCAGCACAAAGGGTCAGCTTTATCACAGGGTAATCCCATCTTCCTGAATTCCATTCTGCCTCGGGGAGGGAACAAAGGAAAACAATTCTTAAAAACCTCATAAAGAGACATGTTATCCTGAGTGTGCTTTTCACCTCTGAGAGCAGGAATACCCCTGCTCGGTTTCAGCACTAACACTGCTGTCTCTCAGGGTCCCACACTTGCACAAACACGCATAGAAATGGAAAACAGCAAACTTTAGCCCTTGTGGGTTAATCTCCCTCAGAGAAAGGAGAGGGACTCCTCTAGAAAAGAATCCAGACCACGAATTTACTGAAAGCAGGTCAAACTCCTTGGCAGTTTCAAGCCTGTAAATTACTACCGCTTTGTTRGTGCCCTATTGGAATAGGAAGCAGTTGTAGAGTTTTTTACTACGAATGGGAGCACTTCTCTTTTTCTACTCCATGGACGGTATTTTCCCCCGTTTTGAGGTCACGTAGTATTTGCATTTTATTCTTAATTGAGAAACATTCCTTGTAACCTCCCTTTGAAGTGCTTTGTATTCTCAACGAGCTCGTTCTACCACGATCAACCAYAACAAGCAGAGTGTTTATGGGAATTCACAGCAACACCTACCAAATACAGCTCCTACTGCTACACTCAGCCACCCCGGCGAGACAGAGCGTGAGGCAGATCCCACCTTCACCAACATGCTCTCTTTGCTGTTTATGGATTTCACCTACAAACTCAGCATTCCCAGAAAACAGKGCATGAATAATTCAGTGCGGGTAATGGTGGCATCTTAGGGAGGCACGATGAGGGCACACAACCTGAATTTGTTCAATCACCAAGACAAACTCGAGTTCACCTTCCTCATGGCTGAGAGAAGCGTGTCCTCACTCAGCAGCATCTGCTCCACTTAAWGCAGAACAGCACTTACTCAGCTCCAAGATCTGACAAGCTCAGAGGCAGAACATCTTTATTAGTGAGACTCTCAGCTCTTCCCTGCCCATAAAAAAACTCTCACATTTTTATGGCTCATCCTACAGCACAGTATCCACAGCGTTTGCCTGCCCTAAGRGGGATTCATGTGAAGCAATGCTCATAACTAATCTCTCCACAGGGAGAATGCCAGCTGCAGAACATCCATCCTGCATCTGAATGAAACTGCCACACCTTGCAGCACCTGCCCCTATGGAGACTGAGCAGAAAACAGTTCCATGCAGATCTCTAACTCAGRAGGCAGTGGGGATGTGGATCTTGCAGGTGAGAAGTTATCCAGCTCTAAAGCCCTTGGATATGTACAGGGGAACTAAACACAAACATCACTTGCACTGGATCACATCTGCTTCCCGGCCAGCACGGTAATACCACTGAGAAGCCATTACATAAAGCCAGCTCAGACAAAATGCAGGATTTCTGGCAGCACTATTCAACAAAAGCTAAACCTAAAAAGAGATTCTCCCTTTTTACCGTTTTTGCTTAAAATAATTTGGCATTAACCAAAGGCTTGAGAAGAAGTAGCACCGCATTCCGGATGCAAGGCTCTGGGATGAGCATGTCTGAAAGCCAGCAGGCACTTCTAATTAAAGATACACTGAAGAGACAAAAACCAGAGTTACAAGTAAAACCACCACTGCATATGCTTTTCATTTAAGCACCAATAAGTAAATATATAGAGAGATATTATGATTCCTACCAGGGAATCCAAAGTGCAAAGCAGAGAGCTCAAGCAGAGATAAAGGCAGGTGTCATTACAGGAAGTTGAGCACAAGCAAAATGATTCCATTCCAAGCCTTCCTGCCACAGGATTCAGAGGCTTTACACACAATCTTTGGGAAAAGGTATTGTTCCAATTCAAAAGCAAAAAGTGACATGCAGCTAACACCTTTTTCCMTATTTTCATGTGTGTCACGTCACTTGATCTCTTTGTCCCTTCCTGCAGCACTGCAGCATCTCTTTATTTTACTGAAATCCTCTTCCAAAAAAAAAAGAAGACAGAACAATCCAACACATCCCTTTTATTAATTTAAAAAACACGGAAGAAAAGCAATAGGGAAAATTTTAGCATTAAAAAASGGATCCTGATTAAAAATCTATAGAACTTGTCTAGCAACATAAACTGATTTCTTTGGGTTAGAGATGACCCCATACAAAACCCCAAATGCAGAACACTCACAGTGCAGGAGAGTCTGGCTACAGACCACTTTTCTACTTTAGGTTAAACTCTTCCCCTAGATTCATGTATCCCACTGCTACCAGCTCCAACATAAGTAGAATACGTAGCCTTCACAGTAATATTTCCCTTAAATGGTAATAGTTATGTTTTAGCTTTCAGACAGAAAAACACTCTGGGCCATATTAGAAAGAACTCTAGGGTCATAGAGACTTATGGCTGACTCTTTAGAGCAAACTTAGAGCAGACTGCACAGCAGTTATACAAGCAATTAAGAAAAAATCTCTTATTTGGCATTTCTCTATCATTTTCTCTCGGGCCTGTGACGTGAAGGCCATGCCCCGCTAAGCAGATGTAACGTACGCCAATGGGTTCTGCTTGGCTGAGATGCAAGATTTTCATGCTCCTGAATATAAAGCAATGAACAGTGTTTCCAGCTGTCCCTGGAAGGCCTCATCCTCTTCCCATGACAAAACTTGGCTCTTCAGCATCATCTTCCTTCTCTTCCTCCTCCTTGCTATCCTCTTCGTCATCCTCACTGCTGCCTTGCTCTTGGGATTGACCAGGTTCTACAAACACAAACAGGGTGAGTGGATAAGGTGTTCCCTTCTGGCTTCCTTGTCAACCATTTCACAACAAAACAGTGTCAAGTGCTCAGCAAATGTGTATTAGGTCAGGCTAATTAGCACGGATGGRTAGCATATTCCCCTGTGTTTTGCTGGTTAAATATCTCACGACTAAGCAGTCCCAGATACTCAGGGAACACAAATCAGGTTCCATTAATTCAACGAGGAGCTCAAAATATCAAATTCTCCCTTGGAGAAATATTCCCTTACTTCCAACGTTACCAAATCCATCATTAAACAACTCCACCACTCATGGAGCATTATTTCTTTCAACAAACTAGTCAGACACTGAGGTGATAGATTATCTCATTGCCATCTCACCTCTGCAGGCTGGGATGAACTTTCTAGGTTCATACAGAACCCTGGGAAGTCACAGGCAGAACTCAGTATATTCCTACACCTATCCAAGTTCACAGAAACTCCACAAGGTGCCATAAACTTTACTGAAAGTATAGGAACTCATTAAAATATGCCTAAGATTAATGAAGGTCACAGAAAACTCGTGAAGTCTGCTCAAAAATCAGGAAATATCTACTAGAAATTAAATAAGCGATARTAAAAATGAGGTATGGAATAAAGTGGAACCTGAATCTAAGAGCCATTTTTCTGCTCTTTCCTGCTCCTCCGGCCCAGTCACACTCTCAATGTCCTGACCAGTTCATGCAGGACTTAGGATCGGTGGTCTGATGCCACCGCGTGGTGAAGTGCTRAACTTTGAGGATTTATTGGGAGTTCGTTAATTAATGCAACCTTAACAGCTGACCTCATTCAGAGCCAAGCCTGATCCTTAATGTTTTTACTACAACAAAGATGAAACATGGCAATTCAAAGGTCTAATTTCTTGATTCCAAAAGGAAAGCAAATATTTGCCYGCCATATCCAACAAATACTCTTCAATAAATTTGGAAAAACTCTCAGATCACAACCCAGGGCACACAAAACTAAAAAAAAAGGAAAGGCTGTTCTCAGTAGACTAAAAATGGCTATCAGAGGCTTCTCTCACCCCCGACATTACCATTTTACCTAGAGAACCACAAACTGTAAAGAGTTAAGAACTGTTACAAAGACCAGGGAATTTTGATTCTGTCTTTCCGGAACTTGTGCCAAACAAAACCACTCCAAGCCCCACAGCTGGAACAGGGCAATCCCATACCACAGTGCCAGTCCCTGATCTAGCTCTCTTTTCACTCCCAGCCACTCCCTAAGTATTCTGTTTGCTCACTCAAAATGAATAAAAGTGTGTTGACTCATACTTAAATTCTCCTCCCAGTTACAATTCATAAATGACTAGCTTTAAAAAAAAAATGTAACTAAACCAAAACAAAACACCCAAAAAATTCACTCTGCTACATTCACTTGCTGTCACAAGTAAAATTAACCTAACAATTTGTCCTCCCATGTTTACATGGGAGGCTGGCAGTGGTTCAGCTGAAACAGATCCAATTCTGAAAAGGAAAGCACAAATAAGGTAGAACTGTCAGGCAAGTCACTGTTCCAGCA